TCTCTGACTCCTTTCTTAGTGAATGGTATGACCAGCTGCTCAGTTCCTGATATGAGATCTGGATGCTTTCCTTAAGTTTGGCAAATTCCACCAGCCACTGAATCCCGTTCAAGGCACACTTGAGCAACTCTCCAATCAAACTCACCCTCTTGTCTTTGCATCTTTAACTCTGGCTGCAGCCAGCTCTCCTGTGATTTCCAGAATGGCTTCTCAGGGATCTTCCCACCACCAGTTTTCCACCATTCTCTCCAACTAAGTTCTCTGCAGCGTAACCAGATCTTGGTGACCCCTCCTCAGCCTTGCAGTGGTTCCCCACTTGGGAACTTGGCTGAGGTTCACATTCCTTTGCAATGCCCAGCAGGTCCTAGTCTCCGTCTCATTGTTCGTTCTTCTACTCATGCTTTTAGACTTCTTACCTTTTTGTTGCTCTTAATATTTATCTAGACTACTTGGATTTGATGATTGTATCTTGTTCTGCAACACTGTCATCTTTCCAGATGGAAGGCACCCAGTGTCTGCTGAAGGAGTGAGATACAGGACAGGGAGATGTCCTTCCCTTCTGGAAGCAATAAAAGCTGTGTTGCCTCATTATCTGTGCTAGACAGGTTGTAATGACAGGATGGTTTGGGAAACTGGACAGACTGTAGAAATTAAAATGTGAGGCAGAGAGTGGCTTGTGGATGCTGACACATGGCACTGCCATCAGGCCATATGCAGGCAGGCCATCAGCATTGTTGGCCTTGGCTCATCACATGGATGGACTCATGTGTTCCACAAGGCTGCTTTTGAACACGGTTTCTGTCTTTTCCACAGTTTATACCTGTCAGTGTAGCAGATTAGAAGAGAGGCTCTGGGCTGAGTTCTGGGTTAGTCATGCTCTGCCTATTAGTTCCTGAATTACCTCAGGCAGTACTCCACTGTAGATTTTGCACTAGAAATTGCTAGTGGTTTCTAGACTAGGGTAAATGCATCACTAATATAGGCCTATTATTGGGCTGAGGATGTAGCTCAGTGGTAGAGCACTTGCCTAGCAAAGGTGAGGCCCAGAGTTCGGTCTAGTCACAATTTGAATGAAATGTCCCCTCAAAGGCTCATGTGTTTGAACACTTGGTTCTTGACTGGTGGTGCTGTTTGGACAAGTTGTGGAACCATCTGGACACAGGACCTAGCTGGCAGACCTAAGGCTGTAGGAGCAGGCCTTGAGGATTTTAGGCTGGCCTGACTTCCAGTCTGGTTTCCCTCTGCTTTTTAGGTGGTACATGTAACCAGCAGCTGCTGCATACTCCCACAGCCATAGACCACGCCGATCCAGCCATCATGCTTTTCCTTCCATGACGGCCTGTATCCTCTTCAACTCTGAGCCAAAATAAACCTCTCCTGCCCTAAGCTGATTCTCCCAGGTATTTGGCCAGATGGACAGGAAAAGTAATTCATATAAATTCCCAGTATTTGAAAACAAAAAGACCTGTTTCACAACTAAAAAACAAAACAAAACAAAAAACAACAAAAAACAAAATAAAACTGTGCTGGAGATGGAACCCAGAGCTTTGTGCATGGCAGGTGAGTGCCTATCACTAAGCTACGTCCAAGTCCTGTTACACACTTTCTGTATGTCTCATGTTTGTCTAGGTACTGAGGATCCAGCACAGCCAGACCAGGTTGCAATTTCCTATCTTGCAAGCAAGGGGATGAACCTCTCTCTTAGCTCTAAAGTTCGAGACCTCCTCTCAAACATGCATATAAGAGGATGCACGAGGCCAGTGCACAAAGCCTGTCTCTAGCTCCCTCTATCTTCTCTTTCTTCCCTGGAGCCACCTCCTTCCCAGACTCAGCTTTGGGCAAACAGGAAAAAAATCTGGTGTCATTTATGTTCTGCCTGTAATCCAAGATTTAACTTTCCCAGCTGGCCTAGAACTTGCTATGTAGACCAGGCTGGCCTCAAACTCTCAGAGATCTGCCTGCCTCTGCCTCCCAAGTGCTGGGATTAAAGGTGTGCTCCACCATGCCCAGCAAGATGCACCTCTTTTGTAGAACTTCTGGCACATGTGTGTAGAGACCAGGGGACAACTTTGGTGTCATCTCCAGGAATGCCAACCATCTCCTTTGAAACAGGGTCTCTCATTGGTCTGGAGTTCACTGAGACAGAGTGGTTAGCTAGCAAGCCCCAAGGATCCTCCTGTTTCTGCCTCCCCAGTGTTGGATTACAAGTATGCACCAACATGCCTGGCATTTTGTTGTTTTCAAACAGGTCTCACGATGTAGTCCTGATTGGCCTGGAACTTACTATGTAGACCAGATTGGCCTTGAACTCAGATTGGCCTACCTCTGCCTCTCTGCCTCCCAAGTTCAGGGATTAAAGGTGAGTGCCACCATGTCCAGCATGCCTGCCATATTTATGTGGGTTCTGGGGATCAAACTCAGGTTCTCATGCTGGTGAGGTGAGCACTTTACTGACAGCCATCTCCCCAGCCTCCAGCATTTTTCTTTGTACAAGGTTTGGGGTTGGGTTCACTGGAATACAGTATGATGCTCTGAAAAAGAATCTCAGCTTTGGGGTCTGTCAGCTTTAGTCCCATCTAGACACAGCCGACTATAGCTGTGCAGCCTTGTTCTGGGCTTCGAATTCCATGTTAGGGGGTATTACATAGTTTGCAATGTCACTGAAAGGATAATTAACACCTGCCTGTGACTGGCCCATAATAACTACACAGATGCTCCATATTCCAAGCTGAAGCATGACAGAACTGTGGATAAGAGATAATGGCCAATAGGAAATGCAGAGAGGGAGTGCGGCTTCAGAAATGAGCAGGGTCCTGGTGGCAGGATCTGATGCACCGAAGGTACTGCTGTTGAGCCCAGGATCTCTTTAATCCTCTCCCCACTCTCCAAGGTCTTGTGTAGCCAAAGATGGCCACGAAATCCTAATCCTCCCACTTCCACCTTCCAAGTGCTAGAATTACAGGTGTGTAACCACCACGCCCGGCTTCTCAGGTCATATTAAGACATGTCCAACTTAAAACAAGGAAACATTCTGTAGTAAGTCCAGATACCAAAGGGGAAGGATGTGATAGTGCTACAGTTTTACACATGGAATGAGAAAGGGGCTCACTTCTAGACTGTCCCTGAAAATCTGACTGCAAGGCTTACTTTAAGGTACTTTAAGTTCTCCTTGATCATCATTAAGACAGGAAGCAGTGCTGCCGGCCAACAGTGCTTTCACACGTAACCAGTTGTGTTGATTGTGCAGTACTTAATATGGAAAAGGTGCGTTTGTGGTCTGGCACTTCTCACGTTCTGATTTGCTTCAAACAAGGACCATGGGCTGAATAAAATGCTGCAGCTCACAATGCAGCTGTGATTTCTAGGTGGCTGTGCCCCAGAGGTGACCATGCTGGCAACATGGACATCTACTTCAAGTTACAAGATATTCTTCTGCCTGAACTATGTGACTGTGAGCAGGTTTCTGTCTTCACTGTACTGACTTATACAAGTGAACGAGGTCAACTCCTCCCTGTCAGTGAGGATGTGTTAAATAGTTTGAACTCCTGAGATTAAGGCAATTATTACTAGGATTATATTTATTTATAATTAAGCAAGTCTAGGCAGATCAGGTGTAAGTTATTAATGAGCAAAAAGGTAAGTGCCGGCTAAGGCAAAATTTACATACAGTATAATACATGGCTCTCATTGTGGATGGCAGGTCTTGTGAGGAAGCACAAAAACTGCCTCTTAGCCTTCCAGGTTCTTCTCTATCATAGTATAAAAACCTACTGAAAGCCAGGCGTGATGACACACGCCTTTAATCCCAGCACTCGGGAGGCAAAGACAGGCGGATCTCTGTGAGTTCAAGGCCAGCCTGGTCTACATAGTGAGTTCCAGGACAAGCTGGGGCTACAGGGAGACCCTGTCTCAAAAAGACAAAACAAAAACAAAAACAAAAACAAAAACAAAAAAACCCCCCAAAACTAAAAACCTACTGAAGAGAGCTAGGTATGGTGGCTTATACCTATAATCCTTAGTAACCAGCATGCTGAGGCAGGAGGACTGCTGTGAGTTGAGGCTAGCCTGGATAGAGTGAGAGCCAGTTTCAAAAAATGAACAAATGAAGAGCCAGACATGGTGGCACACGCCTTTAATCCCAGCACTCGGGAGGCAGAGGCAGGCAGATCTCTATGAGTTCAAGGCCAGCCTGGTCTACATAGCGAGTTCAGGACAGCTGGGGCTACAGGGAGACCCTGTCTCAAAAACAAAACAAAACAAAACAAGAACAAATGAAAAGCCACCCTGAAACTCTACTCAGGTATCAATAAATCTGAATATTTTTGTACAAGCAAACAGTATGAAGTAAAGCAAATCTACTATTTATTTAAGAGAAATGACTTTTAGATTCTTAAAGAAAAGTAATTTGACCTCTTCTCTCTGTCCCAAATCCCTCAGACTTTGAAAGGATAAATGCACCAATTTGGAGCTCTTTCAAAGGATTTGCTACAGAAATGCTTGTCTCCCCCAATGAGGTGGACGGAAGACTTCTGTGTCTAAGAGGATTTGGGTCACTTAATTTTTTTCAAGTGCTGCAACATTCAAGAAGTAACTTTTTGTGGTG